CACACATACACACACACCCCTACCATCAAGTCCTGCGAATTCAGTCCCGCAATGTCCTTCTCAGACCCACCACCATCCCATGTGCCCTAATTCATAGACCGGACCTCACTTTGGGTCCTAATTTCCACCTCTTGGTGTAAGATCAGGGTCTGGGGCCCCCATGCCCCCCAGCAATCCTTTCCCCTGGGGACTGGGGCCTTCTCGCTGCCCTGGAGCCTGGGGCTGGCCAACGGCTAGGGCAGCCCCTGTAGTCTGTGTGCCGGCCGTCCTGGGCCTCCACTCTTGGGGGCTGCCCAGCTGAAGGGACCTGCCCCTACCTTGCAGCTCCGGCTCCCTGTTGGCCTGAACTGGGGAGAAGACAGGGCCCGCCTGCATCCCCAGTGTCTTCCTCCCCCGTTAGTGTATTAATCACGAGAACATCGGCCTCCTCCCGCCCAACCGCCCACCTTCTGCCCCAAATTGCCAATGACAGTGCCGTCTCCTGGGGTCTCCTCCTTTGGGGACCACCCTGCTCCATTTGGCACCTCGGCCATCCCCTTCCTGTCACCCCCAGCTGCTATGACACCGCCCTGTCCTGGTCCTCCTTCCGTGTCCTTGACCGCTGCTTTTCTGTCTCCCTCTTTGCTCGTCCGCCCCCTCGGCGGTGGGCAGCCATCTCAGCTTCAGGCGGCTTGTATTAGTTAACATAAGTTTGGCTGCAGAGAGCAGAAAACTCCAAATAACGACGGCTTAGACCCTCAAGGTCTTCTTCTCAACGGCATGGGAAGCTCAAGGCTGGCGAGGCGGCCCTGGGAAGTCACCACGACTGGGCGCCCGTCCCCCTGCTCTGCCGTCCTCGATGCTGGGGCAGTCTGCTCTCTGGGGGGGGGGCCCTGGCCAGATAGCCCTCCCCGGCCCTGAGCGCTCTGCCCTGCCTCCTCCAGGTTCACCTCTTCCATCCTCTGCACACCCATGGCCTCCCGCCTCGGCGCCCCTACCACACTGCCTTCCAGTGGGGCTGAGGGCTTGCTCCGGGGTGCCCGGCCCTCTCTTGACGGTAAAAGCAGGACAGTGTGGGCCGTCCTGCCATTGCCCAGGCAGGGCTGTCTTCCTAGTAGGTCCTCTGTGCAAGTGCATTGAATGACGAAGCAAAGAACAGCTCTGCACAATAGATGGAGGTCTCTGGGAGGGCTGGAGATCACGCAGAGGGGCCCCGGACCCCGAGCACGTCCTCGGGGCTGGAGAGGTTAATTATTCCCAATATGCACAAGATAAATGAATGTCTCCAAGAGGCTGCACAGATTTGACCCATAAAGGATTCTGGGTTAGCTGAGCTCAAGGAAATCCCAGGTTTACTACATTATTTGCAGACACAATGCCATAGAGAGATTTTACTACCATGCACAGACTTACCTTCTTTGGTCTGATGAGAATGCCGGTCAGCTGGTGAGCATTTTAGGGCCCGTGTCCGTGATGCGAACTCAGGAGCCGGCCAGTTCTTCTTTATTTTTAATCAAGTGGCTTGCTCTGTACTGCTATTTCCGATCAGTAGGAAGTGGTGGGGCTATGGGGAGGAGTAGCCACTTGAAGGCGGCTGAAGATCAAAGAAAGTTTCACGTTTTGTATTTCTTCATCCTAAAGATGCTTGCTTCGTTTCTTCCTCCTCTTGCTTGCTTGCTTTTTCTTCCCTTCCCTCCCTCCCTTCCTCCTTCCTTCCTTTCTCTCTCTCTCTCCCCGCTTTCTTTTTGGGAAAGGTGCATATGGGCAAATCCTCAGCTCTCTGCCTTGAGATCAGTTGGCACTGCAAACTCTGTGGGCGCCCGGCCCGCTGGCAGGTGGAGCCCCGAGGCGCTGCCTGGGAGCTGGGCTCTGCTCGGTTCTGTCCGCCTGTGCTCATGTGGCCTGACGCTGGGAATCTTTTACCAGCTTCAAGAGCGCATGCACAAGAGGTGTTTGTCCTTCACTAGGCCAGAACTAAAACACTTTAGCTCCCTCACAGCGGGGGCTCCTAATTAGATATAAAAACATTTATCCACCAAGCAAAAATCTGATGCTTCCCTTTTCATTCATTTTTTTCTCTCCCGCGTTTCAACCTACAGTCTCATGCATGGAAAAGGCAAAGCTCTGAAAGAGCGGAATGTGCCCAGGAAGGTGTGGGAGAAATGCTTCCTTTCCCAGATTAGCACCTGACTCCAGGGGCCTGGGGGTGGGGACCGAGTGTGGGGAGCTCAGCGGAGGGAAGAGAAGGGTGAGGGGTGTGACAAGTGCGTGGCCCCATGGCTCCGCCCCGAGGCTGGGGACAGGGTGGGGGAGGGGCGGGCTGGGGAGAGGGGCGGGGTTGAGGGGGCCAGGCCCAAATGAAAGGGCTGAAAATTGAGAGGACTTGAAATTAACCCAGCTTTATGAGCCACTTAATAGGCCGGGCTGGGAGGGAGACGAAGCTTGTAATGGCCCTGGTGTTTTTTTCTTCCTCTACAACCAAGGTGGATCCCCCTGCGGAGTTCCCTTCAATGGCAAGGCAGCCGGATTGACTGATTGGGAAAATTCAATTAGAGTCTTCTGTAAGGAAGGGGAGAATCGGTGTGAAGCACAACCTCACGATGGTTCTCTTTTTGAGCTACTTTGCCGCGGGAGCGACACGGTATGGATTTATCTGACGGCAGAGTGCACGCGTGCAGCTGGGGGTGTGGACTCAGGAACACAGGGCCTCAGGATATATTATTATCTGTATCCATAGATGGACTGACGTGTTTATTGGTTCAGTTTAAAAAGCAAGAAGGATGTCTTACCTGTATCTGCATTTTGTTCTCAGCGTCCGTGGAGCCCATTCCGACTCACTGTGACCCCATGTGTGCAGAGTAGAACTGCTCCATAGGGTTTCCAAAGCCATGACCTTTGTTTTTTTCTGCTTTGTCCTGTCACACATTACAGCAGTTGCCACTGAGTTGACTCTGACCCGTGGCGGCTCCATGCGTGTCAGCGTGGAGCTGTGCTCCATAGCGTTTTCAATGGCTGATTTATCAGAAGTAGATTGCCAGGCCTTTCTTCCGAGATGCTTCTGGGTGGACTTGAACTTGCAAACTTTTGGTTAGCAGCCCAGCACGTTAACTCTTTGCACCCCTCAAGGACTCTAAGAAATGGTGTCTTGGATTGGCTTTGCATTTTTCTTGGATGGTGGCTCATTGGACAGGCATTGTCCTCCAAGGAATAGACCGCAAAGGCGAGCTTGGAAGTTCAGGAAGCCCTGAGGACCAACAAATGCTCTTTAAGGGACTTAGGTCCTTGAACCCAAGTGTTTCCAAAGTGGGCGCAGTGGGGTCTGGAGACTAGAAGCGAAGAAACCTCAGACATACTCTACTTTTCCTTTGTTGACTACAAAATAACCAGCTGATTGAGTTCTTGGCCATACACGGGCATCTGAGAGCTGGATACAGTATAGGGACTCCCATGCGGTGGGGGGATCCTCCACAATTCTTGCTCAGCCCTCCCACCTCCCATTAGCCGCCCAGTCCTGGTGATCTGATGGAAGGAGTCCAATCCCCGTTTTTGCCCTTGATCCTTATTCTCTCCATCATTTGGTCTTCATCTTCTCGCCACTGGCCTGGGCCTGGCAGCTGCCAATGTCCCCCTAAAACACCCCTGCAAGGGGTCACATGCCCTTCCAGCCTTCACACCCTCTTCTGGCCCTCTCTGGCCTAGCTACCCTAGACTCGCCCTTGCTCCTCGTCTTGACCACCTTCCCTAGCTCATGCCCACCTGGAAAATGCCTCTTGGTGCTTCAAGGCTCATCGCAAATCCTGCCTCCCGACACTCCTCCTGGCAGACTGGGGTGTTCCTTCTCTTTGCCCCACTGTACCTCCAGCACCTCAGTTATCATCACGAGTAAATGTTCGTGTATTGGTCTCCGCAGTAGATTGGGGATGTGAGGGTCAGAAACTATGACATATCCTCGTGCATCCCCAGAACCGGGTTCAGCGCGCTTATTGAATGAATGGGAAAGAATTACAAGCCAGGAATAGTTTCCGATTAGCAATTTGAAGTGGGCCACTAACCAACTGCTGTATTTAGCACCTCTTATTTTTTCTTTTCTAGAAAATATACCAACTTGGACAACCATCCCCACGGGCCTGCTGTTGAAATATTTCCCAAGTGTTCAAAACACGTCAAATCCTACTCTTGCTCAGCCTCGAGTAGGCCCCAGCCCTTACTCTGGGGAAGTGGAGGCGGGTTCCTCTAGCGCCTTTCAAGTTAGATCCTTCCGGCTTCTTGGTCTTACTGGGAATGGACCCAGAACACAGTGACTTCCAGGGCTCTTGTTACCAAACAAGCAATAGATTTCAGAGGGTAGGGAACTGAAGGAGTAAGCTCAAAAACGGCTCTCCAGATGAGAAGCCCTACAAAATGGCTTTGCGTTAAAGCCGAGTTTAGCATATGGAGTGGAGATCCAAAGGTGCGGTGTGCCTGAGGTGCTTGCCTATGCTTTTCGAGAAGGAGGGCCTAGAACGAGGGCACAGCCAATGCTTGAGTCTCACACCCACTGCTGATCTGCAGGATCTTGGTCAAGCTACACGTTGGCACCTTAGCCCCTTTACCCATGGTTGTTAGTTACCAACAAGTCCATTGCGACACGCGACGGCCCATGTGTGCAGAGTAGAACTGCTTCATGGGGTTTTCAAGGCTGTGAACTTTCAGAAGCAGATCCCAGTTTTCTGAGGTGCCTGTGGGTAGGTTTGAACCGCCAACCTTTTGCTAGTAATGGAGTGCTTAACTGTTTGCGCCACTCAAGATGAACTAGCTCATAAGCCTTCACTGAGTCAGACGCCGCACTGGGTACTGGGGAGCTACAGAAGGAGCTCACAAGTTGCCCGAGATGACAGGCTGTGCAACTATACTTGCCAAGGACCTGGCAGGATCTAAGGATGCAGCCAGCTCCTACCTCTTGAGGGCCTCAATGACTGGTGCAGTTCCATTGCCCCGGTGGGAGATATGGTGCTGTCTGATCAAAATAGCCCTGCCACCCCCACTCTCCCTGCCCATCAAGGACTTGACTCAGTATCTCCAAGGCATGAGGTGACTTTGGGCCATTCTGCGGGGCTCCATGTTGGTGTCTAAGCCTTTACAAAGGCAAGCTTGCCTCCTTTGCACCTGGCTCCAGGCCTGGGCTGCCCATCTCCCATGCCTTGGGCAGCCGGTGGGGCAGGACTCAGAGTCTGGCCTGGCGTGCAGCTCCTTCCTTTCAGCCCACTGATGTGAACCCAGATCAAACCGGCTGCCATTGAGTTGACTCCAACTCATGGCTACCCTACAAGTGTCAGAGTAGAAGTGTGCATCACAGGGCTTTCAACAGCAGAATTTTGGAAGTGGATCACGAGGTCTTTCGAGGTGCATCTGGGTGAGTAATCTGTTTGCACCACCCAGAGAAGGCCCTCTCTTTACCCCTACAACCGGCAGGGGCCAAGCGGCCAGGAACTGCACACAAGCTCTCAGTTCTTTTTGCAAACAAGCCCTGTGATGGTTGAGATATTGTGTCAACTTGGCTGGGCCATGATTCTCAGTGGTTTGGCAGTTGGACGATGTTGTGATCATCCCCACGATGGGATCTGCTGTGAGGAGTAGCCAATCAGTTGAAAAGGAGTTTCCTTGGCTGCACGGCCTGCATCTGAATATAAGTGGACCTTCTGGCAAGGCTCGTGGGCTTTTGCTCGCTCTGGATCCTGCAGCTGGCTCCTGTTGGCCTGACCTCCAGTTGTTGGAACCTGAGCTAGCAGCTTACTGTGGTCTTGCCTGCCAGTCTTGGGATTCATCGATCTTCACAGCCTGTGAGCAAGAGCCCTGCTCTCTGACCTGCCGATCTTGGGTTCGCCAGCACCTGTGGCTACGTGAATCAGAAGAAGCCTCTATCCTGACCCACAGACTTGGGACGTTCTGGTCTCTACAACCGCGGGAGCCATTTCCTTGATATAGATCTCTCTAAATGTGTTTATACGCTTTGCTGGTTTGGCTTCTCTGGAGAACCTGGCCTGAGACAAGCCCTAAGGCTCCAGTTTTTGTGGTTTGCCTTGTCACTTTTGGATAGTTTCATCATCCCCTAATTGACAATTATAGGATATGCAAAAAAAACGGTGTGAGTGCTCCGAACTCTTTGGAGGAAGCCTCCCCACCCTCCTGTGTACCTGAATCCATCGTGTCACTTCCCTATTGGACCAGGGTCCCCTGATGGCAGCAGGGATCCAGCATCCTGAGTAGGGGCTGCCGACCCTGCAGCCCATGCTGAGGGCATCGGCTACAACACTGATGTGCATTATTGTATTCAAAACTGACAGGTGCCGTCACATCCACGGCAGAGACTGGAGGCTGAGGTCATCAGTGGACCGAGAACCCTACCCAGTGCTAAACGAGGCTCTGAAGCACCAGGAACAGGTTCTTGCCCCTCAGGAGGGGGTGGGGAGCCCTCTCCCCTCCCCTGAAAGCACAAGGTGATTTGCAAGAACTCAATTTACACCCTTGGCTCCTGCGGGCTGGGGGATCAGCAGAGGGCGGGATAATCCCAGCTTCTCGAGCAGATGGTTTCTGCCTACCGCTTGACCCAGTTCCCTCCCAGCAGATGACCGGCAGCGGGGCTGGCGGCCCGCTCCACCAGGGGAGCAAAGTGCGGACCCTCCTTTCAGCCTCCCCTTCCCTCCCTCCACCAGTGAGGACCTGGTGGCTTTTGCCTCTCTCTAGCTCAGAGGGTCAGTGGGCAGGATGCCGCCCCTCCCCTCCCCCAGACCCATTCCCCCAGGCGGGGCTGGCAGTAAGAAGGGCTGGAGCCAGGCAGGCCAGGAACACTACCGTGAGGGCTTGTGCTGGGGAGTTGGGGCTGTTACATCCATCGCTGACTTAATGACTTCTCTCACTCATTCAAGCAATCATTCATTCACTAAGCTCCCCCGATCACTGCCGGATCTGGTACCAGACAGGGCCCATGAGGCAGACAAGTGACAAGATAAAAGCAAATAACTATTCAGGGCACAAGAGGGCACGGGGGCTTCACCAAGGAGGGGACAGTGGGCAGGGTCTTTGAGAATGAGCTTGCCGAGTGGCTGGGGTTGTGGCGGTGGGGCAGAGCTCGGGCCTGGAGCACAAGCGGCTGGTGGCAGGAGCTGAGAAAAGCACACAGGTGGGCTCAGGCCGCACCTTGCAGGAGGCAGAAGCGCCTGTTCCTGCCTGCCGCTCACCGGTTCCGGGACAAAGCACAGTGTGGAAACCCAAGAGGACCGAGTGGTGTGGAGCTTCCTTGGAGCTCCGGGGAAGGCTTCCATCTCAGGGACCCTCCGGGCCTGGCATTCTCACTTCCGGTTGGCAAACCCAGACTGGCTCCAGTTTTGCCCTGCGGAGCGGCCCGAGCGCCTTCGGGTCGGTTCCACCGACTGGGAGGGAGGGGGCGCTCGGCCTCCAGACTTGCGGGCGGCGGCTAGGCTGTGGTCCCAGGCCGAGCTCCGCGGCGTGTCCCGGACAGGCTCACGATGAGGGAGTAGGGCCCCAAGCTGGAGGCCACGCTCGGCCTGGCTCTTCCTCAGTTCACCAATGTTATAGGAAAGCTGGAATGACCTCCTTGCAGTCGGGGCTATTTCGGGGTGCGGACGTGGTGGGTGGAAGTCCCCGAGCAGGAGAGGGGGTGGGGGCGTGTTCCTAGTCCTGGGCGCTGCGCCCTGTGGGCATTGTGTTGCCTCCTGACACCACCAGACCCAGGTGGGGGCGTGAGGAGGGGCGCCAGGTACCGGATTGCACTTGGGGTTCTGTGCGGGGCTGGGGGGTCCACTGATAGCGCCTCGGATCCGGCCGCTCGAGGTCGGTGTGGCAGGGCTGGTGGTGGCACCTCGGGGTCTGGAACCCTCCCTTATTGGGTTCTGACTGCTAAGTGGCCCAGCCGCCTCGTTGGGGCCTTC